ACCAAAAAAACTTTCACGTGCCCCCACGTGAGGACCACGTGGACCTTAGCGTCCATTTTGAGGATACGAGCCCGCACGCATGTGTAGATTAATTCGTCAAATTTTCAACCTTGTAGCTTATGTGGTTCTCGAGATGAAAATTCGTTACAGACGAACACACAGACACAAACAAATACACATATACATACATACATACATACATACATACGTACATACATACACACAGACAACCCCTCGACAATATGTGTTTTTGCATTGCATAGCTGCAAAAAATGCATAAAAAGGCGAGCTGGAAACACAGACTTGGCTTCATACCTCAGATAGGTCAAAAAATAATTTTGAAGTGGCACAGCGGCCATCTACAATACGCCCGGCTAGCCTTTTCACTGATGGTGCTTCCCGAACAACATAACACAAAACACACTGCCATCGCAGCCTTTTGGCTTACATTGCTACTTGCCTCCTTTGAAGTTTTTTTTTTTAGTGAAAAGCTTTTTTCAGGCATAGTGGGTGGCTTAAGTTCTTGGGGAGCTGACATGGATATCATTGTGACGATAAGCGTTGTGATGGCAATTGGTTTGACTGTTGATTACGCTGCCCATATCAACTACCATTATTTTGTGCTGAACGCAATGTTACCGCCTTTGGACCGCATGTCTTTATCCCTGGAAGCTGTCACTTACGCTACTGCGCAGGTATCTTTTCATTTCACTTCATGTGCAGTTTTGCACTATCCTATGACACGTATTTAAAAGGTTTTGAGATCTCTTCCTCATCCCATCATTTAACAGAGGTAATCCTTTACAGGTATAAGCCGTTCACTAGCGAGTTCCCCCTCTTCGGAATGCAGTAGTTGTAAAATTTCACACCTTTAGCTTTTCGACATCAACTTATCACAGGAAAAATCAACTTATGTAAAGACGACTAACCTGCTTAGTTGCGTCTTCCGGTGACTGGGCATTCAGCTCATGGATTGGTGTTGCATACGCCTTAGCGTGCTAATATTGAATGAAATCCATTTTGAAAGAAGCAAGTACGAATTGTCTTGGTATCAAGCAAGGCCATGACCTGAGAAATGGAGCCTAACTCCTATATTTTGGTAATGTGGCTTCTGCTTATAACTGTTTATTTGGTTATTCATGAGAGCTCACTTTTCATTGGCTCAAATCTGGACCTGAGATTTTATGCCTGAATGCAATAAACTTTGAAAATCCAATCTAAGCTATTTATTCAACTTAAAACCTTCACTTATCCTATTTCTATTATGCGTTTTTGCATACATGCAAATGCAACCCAGGCTGGAACGCACCGGGCGGGCCCGTGCGATCGTGCGTTTTTGCACCGGACTTGAAGAACTCAGGTCATTGACTGCATGAATGGCTTTGCTTTACACCTACCTGTTGCGGTCACTAGCATAAATCACCATAAATTTTTGCACAGTAGTTTTCCATTTAACAGTCGTTCTTTAAAAATAACCTAGTTGTTTAGTAAAAAATTTTTTCGCTAAAATTTTTAAGTGACCGTACGTAAGAACCACG